ATCTCTGGATCACACCCATTGATTCAGAATGGGTTTGATCAGTCAGCTGCTCTGTACATGCCATTGATTCAGCAAGCTGGGACTTATTATTGGATTTCCACCAATAGGTAGCAGTGTATATAAGATGAAGTTGTCTGTTGAGATATAGATTGTTGCTAAAGTTTTGCCATTTATGTAAATCATTATTTGATTGTTATGTCTGTTATACCTGTAGTACTGTAGTACTGTGGTGTGTACGATTCCGGGTGTTGCTGGATAAAAGAATGCCCTATAAATGAAATAATAAATGAATAATATGTTGAAGACCCCAAGCTCTGTAATAAATCTGAAGATGCAGACTGCCGTCTTAAAGGAATAGTTTGAGGGTGTAATGATACCACGTTTCACTTTAGGGCAGTGGTCCCCAACCTTGGGCCTCCAGATGTTCTTGGACTTCAACTCCCTGAAATGTTGGCCAGCAGAGGTGGTGGTGAAGGTTTCTGGGAGTTGTAGTCCAAGAACATCTGGATGCCCAAGGTTGGGGACCACTGCTTTAGGGTATGTAAAATCAGCTACCTGCTTCTTTTTCTCATTCAGTGTGCTCAGCATCACCTTTGGGTTTTTTTTTTTGGCTGGGAGTTGAAGCAGACATGGTAGTCTCCTAATGAAAAAAGCTGGAAACTAATTTCACATGATGCGCTAGGCAAAATAACCACTTGAATCCAAATGATGAGTGTGACCTAGTGGGTAGAGTGATGGAGTCTTCAGTGTGGTACACAGCCTGAATGACAGTAAGTCTCCTTGCTCTGGTGGCAGATGCTACTTGTGGTGGCTATTCATGGATTTTCCATAGAGACTCCCTGGAAAGCTCATATTGACAGAAGACTTTACTAGGTTGGGTACAAGGTAGTTTCCTATGTTGTGTCCCAGCCTTTTCCACTACAGAAGTTTGTACGTTTATACCTCAGGATACAATTGTGAAGTGAATGGTTTGTTTGCCCCTCTGTACTCATGCGAGGAACATAAATCAGTAGAATACGTGAGTTCAATGGGTGTTTGTGATAAAATTACAGGATATTGGCATAACCGCCATAGTATTTATAGTGATTGCTAGTTTCTGGATCCACTAGGAATCAACATGACTTAAATCTCAATAGGGAGATGGCCATATTCAAAAAGAATGTTTTTTTGTCATTGTTTGTTTTTAGATAGGAATAGTTTAAGAGAAATCTGAGTGTTAACATTTGTAGGCATTCATATGCTTTTTAATACAAAACATAAGTTTTAAAACCCAGTGATGCAGAACAGTAAAGTCCAGAATCCCATAACAATATCCGCTCAACCAAAAAAGTGACTATTTCTACTGCAGTTCAACACAAACGGTAGGTACCTGAAAAAGAGACATTTGAATTTCTCCTGTTTTCCCTTGCTTCGTCACAACTGAGGATAGGATGGGAATACAAAGACATTACTGGTTTGTTCTGTTTTTGTTTGGGGTTTGTTGGTTTGTCTGTCCTTTCCCATTTTTTTACCCAGCTCTCACGTGAATTGTTAAAGATTGCACATAATTTTCTGCTTCTGTTTTCTTTAAGTTAGCCTAACAAAGTTTATCACCTTATTATGGAATTAGGATTCTAAGTAATATTTTGAAGTGCTTGTAATTTGTGATTTTAATGTAAACTGTACAAAAATATTATTCTGCATCACTTTTGTTTAAAATCAAGTTTTATCCACCCTGTTCATGGGGCAAAGAGTGTGTTAAATTTTTTTGCTGGTTGTAGCAAGTGGCAGCTATTGTGTGTAATATGAATCAGTTTTGAGATTGTTGTCCTGGTTAAATGTAGAAGTGCTGGATAGCTTTGTGTTTTAGGCATCTGGCTGCGGAGCCAAAGGTTGGGAGTTTGATTCTTCTCTGTGCCTCAGCAATAGCTATGGTCCCTTCCAGCTCGGTACTTCTAAGATGATGATGATGATTAGACTGAAAAAGATGCTGTCTCAGGAATTGCTTGCAAGTGTGGTAGTATTAAAAGTCACCAAAGAAAGAACCATAGATGATTTTTGTGGGTTTTTCGGGCTCTTTGGCCATGTTCTGAAGGTTGTTCTTCCTGACGTTTCGCCAGTCTCTGTGGCCGGCATCTTCAGAGGACTGGAGTAGGAACTCTGTCCATGCTCCGTAGAACCATAGATTTCAACCCTTGTGGTTTGCTAGGGATTTTTTTTTCAGAAATACAGTGGGATAAACTAGCAGGTTTTTATATTTGGATTAGCCTTCGGCATGCCTTGTTACACATTAGTGATGATTACCTGTTAGAATTGGTGTTTTTGAATTGTGGTGCTAGAGGAGACTCTTGAGAGTCCCCTGGACTGCAAGGAGAACAAACCTATCCATTTTGAAGGAAATCAACCCTGAGTTGCTCACTGGAAGGACAGATCCTGAAGCTGAGGCTCCAGTACTTTGGCCATCTCATGAGAAGAGAAGATTCCCTGGAAAAGACCCTGATGTTGGGAAAGTGTGAAGGCAAGAGGAGAAGGGGATGACAGAGGATGAGATGGTTGGACAGTGTCATTGAAGCTACCAGAATGAATTTGACCCAACACCAGGAGGCAGTGGAAGACAGGAGGACTTGGCGTGCTTTGGTCCATGGGGTCACGAAGTATTGGACACGACTAAACGACTATACAACAACAACCTGTTATCAAGCCAACTGAGTCTTGTGGCGAGCCTTCCCGGTGTTTTTCAAGTATTAAATATTTGGGAGTGGTTTACTAGTTCCTCCTTCTGAAGGCACTCTGAAACTGTGTGGCTTGCCCACATTACCAGAATTAACATAAAGCAGTTGATATTATTAAATACTGTACATGGAAATGGGTACAGTACAGCCAGGTTGCATTGTAAAGGTAGAAACTCTCAGCTTTTCACAACCTTGCTCCCACCAAATGCGTTTGAAATGTGTTTGTTTGCAAATCTCATCATCCCCAGCTTAGAGTGCTTCAGTTGCATAGAATTTTTTGAAATGATGTTTGTGATAGAGAATGGTGGGTGAGGACCTCTTAAAAGTTCACGTAGGGAGTGAGACATTGAACCCAGGATGGTGCATGCTATCAGAGCGAAGTGACCTTACTGTTGTCCCTTGAGATTCTACATTGTTCCCAGTGACCCATGTCTAGCTTTCTGCAAGCATGTACCTGCATACTGTTTTTTGCAGCATATACAGGCAATCCATCAGGTCTGCTGGTTTTTAGCTTGGAATGAAAATCTGATCTCCTCCTTCTGTAAGCATTTTTCCTAATCCAGGTAGTGAGTGGCCAAGTCGTGCCTGATGCAAGTACAAAGGCATAACAGCAATTAAATCCTGACAATACTGGGTTTCTGAAGCAAGTGTCTTATGCCGGATGGAACAGTTCAGTGTCTGTGATCTCATCCGTTCCTTTGCAACGTGCTTAGTCAATTAGGAGTGTTGCCCTCGTACACCTACACAGACAATAGGGCAGCAATCTCCTGTTTAGTTAAAGTAAAGCAGGATTTTGACTGCTTGGATGAGACGAAATCATTTAAGCTGGCATTCTAGAAAGGTCTCAGCCACATCTGAGAGGATTCTTGTCTGGAATATTTCCCTTTGAGGTTACTTTGGTGTTAAATGGCAAAGGCAGCATTTTCTGCTTAGTTATCCAAGATGCAAAAAAGTTGACAAATGGCAGTGTTAACCGTGTAAACTCAATGGGAGAAAATTTGAAGGACTGCATCACTTTCTGCTTTCTGTGGGGAAAGAGAGGACAATTCAGATGAGGAAAATGTACTTTCAGTGTCTTTTAAACTTGGAAAAATTTTCTACGAGTGAATTTATTCAGAGTTTGTTTGTTAAGGTTCCTCAACTGCTCAAATTGGAAGTTATTTTGCCTGATTTGTATCAAGCCTGCTGTAGAAACTGGGAGGTGTCAATGGCTTCTTTAATGCTAAATGTCTGGTTGCTTTCCAACGTAATGGTCGATGTGTAATATTGATACAGGCGTTCATGAATATTTGATAATGAAGTTGAACAAATGGGTTAATTGGAAATTTTTCCAGTCCTCAAAGAGAAAAGCATTGGCATATGCGCATGTACGCGTGCACACGCGCACACACACACACACACACACACACACACACACACACACACACAGAGCGCCTTCAATATACAGTATATTTTAAGTGCTTTCCTCTTTGAGGACTTTGATATATATATTGATTGGCACTATGCCCCCAAAAGTAAAGGCATTAAGATAAAAAATCACCCCCCAACTCAAAATGTAGGCAGACTGATGCTCTCTTTTGTACCTTAATATCTACTGCAAGTAAATACTGTAGCTTAGCCTCACTAATCCTTCCACTGCCTGTATATAACATTACTATTGATCTGGATCAAAACGTCAACATTGGTAATGTCAGTATAGTGGTACAGTTAACGTAACCTGCACGAATCTGGTCTGGTTGATCCATATTTTATTTGAAGGGGACTCACACACACCCCCGCGTCTCAAGTTACAGGAAGCCAGATTTTGTTTGAATATCAGGAAATACTTCCCAAGTGTTAGAGGAGTACAACAAGAGAACCAATTATCTTGAGGGGTGGTGAGTGGTCCAGCACTGGAGGCCTCCAAGAGAAATGTAGACAAACCACCTGGCAGATCTCCTTTGATTTGTATTCCTGCATCAAGCAGGGTTTGGTCTCTATAGCCTTATAGACCCCTTCCAACTTTATGCTATGTTCTCAATATTTGGTCTTTCAAATGTTTTTGATTTCAGGCTCCTTAGAATCCATGACGGTTGGCCATTTTGGATGCTGATTTTTCACAGCATCCAAAATGGCCAACCGTCTCACAGCCTCACAGGACTTCTAATCCATTTTCCCCATGAGGAACACTTCTTTAAATGAGAAAAAACCTTGAAAATTGGTGGAATAAGTAGAGAAATGTTTCTTAAGTTATTTTTATGTTACTATGAGCCCTGTATGTGCTGACTATCTCCTCCTTTTCCATTTAAGATGCCCTGAGGTTTGTCGGTCTCATCACTGTAGAAGTTGCCTGTGTAAAACTCTTTACTGTGCCTCGCCATTTGTACTGCGTGAGGAAGGGAAGCCAGCTGTGTTAATGCCTAGACTGCTTGAATGACAGGTAAAAATGGCCATGCAACGGGTGTTGCATGAATAATGTTGTCTGAAAATGCAGAGTCCTCTAACAAATATGACTGGGATTGAATTCTTTTGAGCTTTGCTGCCATGCCAGTTCATAGTAACCATTAATTAGCTTGCTATTATACTGTCTTCTGTGTATGAGGTGAGAGCCCTTAATTGCTGGTCCCAACAAGAAACGATTGCATTAACTTAAAAAAGGGCCCATTATATACAATTAAAGCAGTTCATGTAATTTTGTCCAGAATCTTTCTTGGTGTTACATTTTTGTGGTATTGAAATAAACTGTATCTCAACATCAAACATGCTTTTAATTACGAAAGAGCTCAATTAAAATGGGAGTTCTGACAGGTGCTAACCCTACCCTTGGCATCCATATCCCTTTTATGGAAGGAGAAAGATTGTTATGCCAGATCAAGTTCAACCAGGCAACTTGGTGTCCCTTAAGAAAATGTGCTTATTCTGCAGGATTTTGCATTATTTGCATGTTAAGAGGTCTCGGCACTATGTTTGGATTTTGTGGTACCTTTTAAGAAGGAGTGGAAGGTAATATAGATAAAATTAAACAAACGTTAAACCCCTGTGAAGGTTGTATCTAGATGCTTAATCTCTTTTAGGTCACATAATGGTTTTTGGCATAGATGTCACAAGTGGAACAGGAAGCAGA